TAGATAGATAGATAGATAGATAGATAGATAGATAGATAGATAGACAGACAGACAGACAGACAGACAGACGGTCGGTAGGTAGGTAGGTAGGTAGGTAGATAGATAGATAGATAGATAGATAGATAGATAGATAGATAGACGGTAGGTAGGTAGGTAGGTAGGTAGGTAGGTAGGTAGATAGATAGAGGGATGGATGGATGGATGGATGGATGGATGGATGGATGGATGGTAGACAGACAGACAGACAGACAGACAGACAGACAGACCAACAACCCCACAGCAGGCAGAGCTGCAAGATCCCATTTGTTCCCCATCCCTGAGATTTTTCAGCTGCTGACTGGGGGAATGAAGAGGCAAAATATTCTGAGAACAAAGGCTGCAGGCAGCCATTTATTTCTTCTCTCCATGCTTTGAAATACATTGTAATTGAGTAGGTCAGGAAACAAGCATCACAAGAAATGTTAAAACGCTATTATTATAGACTATGATAACAAAATCCTGAAAGCCTGACAGCATTTCCCTTTCCCTCCCTCTTATACCAGGGAGAGTCAAGGCAGGGCAATCTTGAGTTTCTTTCTCACCCTTTCCTGTTTTCTGAGCCTCGGCTCACGTTTTATTCATGATTGCTGCATATTTTCTCCAAGGTCACCTCTATGCTCCTCTACACTTTTTGCCTCTGAAAATCAGCTCCTACCACCCAAAACAGAGATCTAAAATCTTTGGCTCAGTTACACAATTCCAGGCCCAAAAGTCAAACAGCAATAAATAAGGTCACCTACCCCTGCTTTAACTAGGATCACCATTCCTGACTCTAGATCAGTGTTTCTCAACCTTGGCAGCTTTCAGAAGTGTGGACTCCAACTCCCAGAATTCCCCAGCCAGCAAGGCTGGCTGGGGAATTCTGGGAGTTGGAGTTCACACAAAGCTGCCAAGGTTGAGAAACACTGATTTAGACAGAGGAAAAATCACAAAAGGCAGGGCTGGCACTATCATGGATCATGTTCACCTACTGCGTAGTAAGCTTAGTTAGCATTAACCTGGGTTACTCTTATGGGAGTGGTAGCTTAGCATGAGTGCAAACCAGATTGTTTGATTGGCTGACAGATCAATGCGCTGAACAATCCCTGATAATGGGTTACTTAATAACCGAGTTAAGTGTGTTACACCTCCATGCACCAAAGTGAAACAGAAACTAAAGTGGGAGAAAAGGTAAAAGGAGACCAGGAGATCCGGGTTCAAATCCCCCCACAGCCGTGGAAGCTTCCTGATTGCCTTTCAACTCTCAGGCCAACTTATCTCACAGGGCTCTTTTGAGGAAAAAATGGAGAAGGTAAACTTCTTGCTGAAGCTGAACTCAACTCCTGTTGACTATATGAATAAGTTTAGGTAGTTTTCTTGAAAACAAGATAGAAATGTCGCTTCTTCCAGGAAATGTTTCCAACTTCCTAATGTAGCCAAAGCACAGAGATTTCCCAGTGGTCTCCCATCCAAGAACCAATGAGGTCCAATGCTGGTTAGCCTGTTTCAAGACCAGCCAGGGAATGCCGATTCAGCCCAGCTATTTTTATTACCTCCACCCTCTACAAAGAACCCTCCCAGACAAAACCCCCAGTCCCAAAAGCCCCCCAGCCACAACAGTGTGAATTCTTCAGGGAGGTGCCAGTCTCATCCTCTTGTTCCTC